TAACACTGAAGGAAACCAAATTGGACGTGAACCTCTTTCCGTTGAGGCAATGATGTCTTTTGTCTGCCATTAAAAAATCTTATCTAACGTGACTGGGACTGAGAGTGAAGGATCTATGGAGGATGATGACACCTGCATAAGAGAGGATAGAATTTTTTGTAGCGGAACAAACATTTACGTGAATTCATAAAAGAGTTCGTGCTAATACGTAACACTGAGGCAATGAGCGTGATGGAGAAATGACCATCAATAACTACAAATATTCCTCGACTAGATATAAAAAAAGATTATTAATGAGGCTAAGGAAGAACGATATTACGTGGGACATTTTGTAAGTATGAATCAATGCCAAAAGGCCTCTTGCTTCGGAAAGTCAAGCGCTGTTGCAATGGTGGATCGTAAGAGTGAAGAATCAAATATCAGTAATAATTCCTTCAGTACATAAGCTATACGGCTGATCATTGACTAGATTGTTGTTTATAAGTTACTGGTTAATATGAATATTGATTATCATTTTAATATATCATGGTTATTGTTGTGGCAAAGGAAATTGGGTGATAATTTGAAGGGTTGGGTTTATAATCTTTCTTTTAGGTTGGATGACTTGCGTTATCTTTCTATGAGGAGGAGAACACTGGATTGTAAAGAGTTTGGGGAGTACAGGAGACGGCCCAATGGAGAACTGTTTTAGAATATGTAGGGAAACCTTTTCTGGGCCTGAAGAACTTATTAATTTTTTTCAAACTTTTTTATTTTTTGTTTTGTTTTACTTTTGACAGACGAATTTACAGCCATATTCTAATCCAGGTGAAGGATCATCCGCTCATCCTCCTGCATATTGGGATCACTGAACCACCAGGTGTGTTGGGAGGAGGAATGGATGAATGGCTTATGAACTCTGAGATTAACGTGGTACAGGTAAACCAGATTAGTTTATTATTAATTTGGGTTCTTCAGCAGTCTCTTTGATTTTTTTAAGCAGACATTTTTTGTTTTGAATAACTTAATAACTACTTAAATGAAATCTCTTGAATGTTGAAAGTGTTTATACAGATGGATTAAATTGGTGTAATCTATAAGGGTGTTTTTTGCTATTTACAATAATGACACGAGAATGACAATAAAATAAGAAAACAAAGTTAATAATATTATGTTCTTGTATACTGGTCAATAACCTCTAGCATTTAAAAGCCCTGGTAAATAAAAACAGGTAGAGGCAGGTTCTTACATCACTGTCCTTGATTCTGTACCTGAAGTGAAAACCTCATGTAGTAAGTAGCCAGCGAGGTGAGTCGTAACGTGTCATAAAAAAGCAAGTCACCAGGAAAACCTGTCCTACAACGTTGTGTACGTCCAGGTATAAATAGAGGCATCAGGGTGGTGGTGGGCATCAGTTGTGATCACTACTGCATCATGAACACTAAGGTAGGCAGCTCCAGCTCTGTCTTGAGATATATGCTCGACTGAAGGATTTACCACTGGCAATACGTTCGCTTGTGCCCTAGCCAAAGTAGCCCGTACATTAATTCAGCAAGTGCTTCAAGTGCTGCCTCTGAGTCCTCGAGTCTTTATACGTGGAGTAGAGCGAATGAGTCACTATGATGTTTGAGGGTCAATGTGTGCTTGGTCTCAAATATTGGCGGGGGCATGGTGTGACAGATACGAGTAAATAGTACAGACTTTGTATTGATTCTCACCTTAGGCGAATACACAGGTGAATGCCGAGAGAAAATACTAAATGGGGAAGTTAAAACGTGAGTTCTCATTATGTTAAGAGACATAATCCTAACATGAATTAAATCTGTCTAGCTGAAGGAAGGTTTGGTATATGTTTTTCTAATGTTTATGAGTGAGGCGATGTTTGATGAATAAAGTTAATAAATCACTTGTTTTACAGGCACTTCTCCTGCTGGCTCTGGTGGCTGTGGCTGCCGCAGACAAACGCCCCGCGACGGGCTATGGTGCCCCGCCGGTAAGTCGTCAAGATTATATGATCATTTACGTGTTTCTTTGTTACTGAAGCTATACAATACAGGTTTCTATAAGAAAGTTAGTATTTTTTCTTAATATATATCAGTTTTTAATGTCTAGTCTTAAAGTTGGGTTTTGGATAACGAGAACTACGTTGTGTGATGGGATTTTACTCGGATTTATAGGTGTCATCTGAGGAATCCGAGCCCCCCAAATATGGCTTCGACTGGGCAGTTCAGGACGGCGAATCTGGCAACGATTTCGGCCAACAAGAGGCCCGTGACAACGACAACACCAAGGGGTCGTACACTGTACAGCTTCCCGACGGTCGTCTGCAGACTGTGACTTACTACGTGGACGGTGACTCAGGCTACGTGGTCGATGTCAAGTACGACGGTGAGGCTCAGTACCCCGACTCTGATGAGGTCAGGTCCTACGCCCCACCCAGGCCCACTTATGGCGCCCCCTAAGTTAGTGGAGACTCCCGTGTGGCCACCACCAGGAGGCTACCTCGACCCACCAACAACCACGTACATTCTACCACTATTTCGAATCTACAGTCATAGAAATTTTAATAATTTTATCCTGTCATTGAATAATATTAGAACAATATGGATTTGGGATATGTTATGCCTAAGCCATTTTATCTTAACCACATTCTTGAGCTCCTTACACAGTTTTGTAAATCACATTTTCTTCTTTTTCCAGACCCCAACTTCCTTATAATATTATTTTTCTGTTGAATGTGAATATCGTATATATTAAACTATTTATTAAACTAAGCAATACTTAAAAGAACTTTGCGTTATAAATTATTCCTCATCATTTGACCAGATAAATCGTGACCTCCACCAAATACCATTATTTTTTCACCAACAAAAAGCTTTAGGGAAATCAAAGCCTCTTGTTGTCAAATATATCCATCGAGGCTTCTCCTTGCCAAAGACTGAATATATTTGAAGAAGGAAAATTTGTACAGATTATTAGCACAGAAAATGACATTCTTAAACAAGAAATTCCACAAAATGTTGATCCGGGCGAGTAACTGAGGTTCGGTAGGAAGAGGTTCAGGAAAATATAATTTCAACTTTCAACTCACTAATCCTCCTAGAGCTGTTGTACACTGACTGGGGTGTGTGGTGGTGGCAGAGAACTTACTGTGGAAGCATCACTAGAATAGGGAAAGTGTTAAGGAGTGTTAGTTACATGACTAGCGAGGTTATTCTAAAACTATATCTTGCTCATGTGAGACCTCACTTGGATTATGTTGTTCAGTTTTGGTCTCCGTACTACAAAATGGATATAGAATCCTTTGAAAAAAGTCGGAGGAGAATGACAAGACTAATCCCGGGCATTAGGAACCTTGAATACAGAGACGGGTTCAAACATATTAATTTGTACTCTCTCGAGGGCTAAACAAAGGTGATATAGCAAAGGTACCCACACTATCCAACCAGGAGCGAACTCGTACCAATAGGTTTAAATTATACAAATTTAGATTTAGGCGCGAGATAGGTAAACACTGGTTTGGAAATAGAGTAGTGGATGAGTGGAACAAGTTACCAAACATTATCATTAACTGGTATACGCTGGATAGCTTCAAACATAGGTTGGATGGATATATGAGCGATAAGGGTTGGGTGTAAACGGGACTGCCCAGTATTGGCCAATTGTCCGGCTGCAGTTTCCTCCATTCTTATGTTTTGTAACACTGAAGGAAACCAAATTGGACGTGAACCTCTTTCCGTTGAGGTAATGATGTCTTTTGTCTGCCATTAAAAAATCTTATCTAACGTGACTGGGACTGAGAGTGAAGGATCTATGGAGGATGAAGACATCTGCATAAGAGAGGATAGAATTTTTTGTAGCGGAACAAACATTTACGTGAATTCATAAAAGAGTTCGTGCTAATACGTAACACTGAGGCAATGAGCGTGATGGAGAAAAGACCATCAATAACTACAAATATTCCTCGACTAGATATAAAAAAAGATTATTAATGAGGCTAAGGAAGAACGATATTACGTGGGACATTTTGTAAGTATGAATCAATGCCAAAAGGCCTCTTGCTTCGGAAAGTCAAGCGCTGTTGCAATGGTGGATCGTAAGAGTGAAGAATCAAATATCAGTAATAATTCCTTCAGTACATAAGCTATACGGCTGATCATTGACTAGATTGTTGTTTATAAGTTACTGGTTAATATGAATATTGATTATCATTTTAATATATCATGGTTATTGTTGTGGCAAAGGAAATTGGGTGATAATTTGAAGGGTTGGGTTTATAATCTTTCTTTTAGGTTGGATGACTTGCGTTATCTTTCTATGAGGAGGAGAACACTGGATTGTAAAGAGTTTGGGGAGTACAGGAGACGGCCCAATGGAGAACTGTTTTAGAATATGTAGGGAAACCTTTTCTGGGCCTGAAGAACTTATTAATTTTTTTCAAACTTTTTTATTTTTTGTTTTGTTTTACTTTTGACAGACGAATTTACAGCCATATTCTAATCCAGGTGAAGGATCATCCGCTCATCCTCCTGCATATTGGGATCACTGAACCACCAGGTGTGTTGGGAGGAGGAATGGATGAATGGCTTATGAACTCTGAGATTAACGTGGTACAGGTAAACCAGATTAGTTTATTATTAATTTGGGTTCTTCAGCAGTCTCTTTGATTTTTTTAAGCAGACATTTTTTGTTTTGAATAACTTAATAACTACTTAAATGAAATCTCTTGAATGTTGAAAGTGTTTATACAGATGGATTAAATTGGTGTAATCTATAAGGGTGTTTTTTGCTATTTACAATAATGACACGAGAATGACAATAAAATAAGAAAACAAAGTTAATAATATTATGTTCTTGTATACTGGTCAATAACCTCTAGCATTTAAAAGCCCTGGTAAATAAAAACAGGTAGAGGCAGGTTCTTACATCACTGTCCTTGATTCTGTACCTGAAGTGAAAACCTCATGTAGTAAGTAGCCAGCGAGGTGAGTCGTAACGTGTCATAAAAAAGCAAGTCACCAGGAAAACCTGTCCTACAACGTTGTGCACGTCCAGGTATAAATAGAGGCATCAGGGTGGTGGTGGGCATCAGTTGTGATCACTACTGCATCATGAACACTAAGGTAGGCAGCTCCAGCTCTGTCTTGAGATATATGCTCGACTGAAGGATTTACCACTGGCAATACGTTCGCTTGTGCCCTAGCCAAAGTAGCCCGTACATTAATTCAGCAAGTGCTTCAAGTGCTGCCTCTGAGTCCTCGAGTCTTTATACGTGGAGTAGAGCGAATGAGTCACTATGATGTTTGAGGGTCAATGTGTGCTTGGTCTCAAATATTGGCGGGGGCATGGTGTGACAGATACGAGTAAATAGTACAGACTTTGTATTGATTCTCACCTTAGGCGAATACACAGGTGAATGCCGAGAGAAAATACTAAATGGGGAAGTTAAAACGTGAGTTCTCATTATGTTAAGAGACATAATCCTAACATGAATTAAATCTGTCTAGCTGAAGGAAGGTTTGGTATATGTTTTTCTAATGTTTATGAGTGAGGCGATGTTTGATGAATAAAGTTAATAAATCACTTGTTTTACAGGCACTTCTCCTGCTGGCTCTGGTGGCTGTGGCTGCCGCAGACAAACGCCCCGCGACGGGCTATGGTGCCCCGCCGGTAAGTCGTCAAGATTATATGATCATTTACGTGTTTCTTTGTTACTGAAGCTATACAATACAGGTTTCTATAAGAAAGTTAGTATTTTTTCTTAATATATATCAGTTTTTAATGTCTAGTCTTAAAGTTGGGTTTTGGATAACGAGAACTACGTTGTGTGATGGGATTTTACTCGGATTTATAGGTGTCATCTGAGGAATCCGAGCCCCCCAAATATGGCTTCGACTGGGCAGTTCAGGACGGCGAATCTGGCAACGATTTCGGCCAACAAGAGGCCCGTGACAACGACAACACCAAGGGGTCGTACACTGTACAGCTTCCCGACGGTCGTCTGCAGACTGTGACTTACTACGTGGACGGTGACTCAGGCTACGTGGTCGATGTCAAGTACGACGGTGAGGCTCAGTACCCCGACTCTGATGAGGTCAGGTCCTACGCCCCACCCAGGCCCACTTATGGCGCCCCCTAAGTTAGTGGAGACTCCCGTGTGGCCACCACCAGGAGGCTACCTCGACCCACCAACAACCACGTACATTCTACCACTATTTCGAATCTACAGTCATAGAAATTTTAATAATTTTATCCTGTCAATGAATAATATTAGAACAATATGGATTTGGGATATGTTATGCCTAAGCCATTTTATCTTAACCACATTCTTGAGCTCCTTACACAGTTTTGTAAATCACATTTTTTCTTTTTCCAGACCCCAACTTCCTTATAATATTATTTTTCTGTTGAATGTGAATATCGTATATATTAAACTATTTATTAAACTAAGCAATACTTAAAAGAACTTTGCGTTATAAATTATTCCTCATCATTTGACCAGATAAATCGTGACCTCCACCAAATACCATTATTTTTCACCAACAAAAAGCTTTAGGGAAATCAAAGCCTCTTGTTGTCAAATATATCCATCGAGGCTTCTCCTTGCCAAAGACTGAATATATTTGAAGAAGGAAAATTTGTACAGATTATTAGCACAGAAAATGACATTCTTAAACAAGAAATTCCACAAAATGTTGATCCGGGCGAGTAACTGAGGTTCGGTGGGAAGAGGTTCAGGAAAATATAATTTCAACTTTCAACTCACTAATCCTCCTAGAGCTGTTGTACACTGACTGGGGTGTGTGGTGGTGGCAGAGAACTTACTGTGGAAGCATCACTAGAATAGGGAAAGTGTTAAGGAGTGTTAGTTACATGACTAGCGAGGTTATTCTAAAACTATATCTTGCTCATGTGAGACCTCACTTGGATTATGTTGTTCAGTTTTGGTCTCCGTACTACAAAATGGATATAGAATCCTTTGAAAAAAGTCGGAGGAGAATGACAAGACTAATCCCGGGCATTAAGAACCTTGAATACAGAGACGGGTTCAAACATATTAATTTGTACTCTCTCGAGGGCTAAACAAAGGTGATATAGCAAAGGTACCCACACTATCCAACCAGGAGCGAACTCGTACCAATAGGTTTAAATTATACAAATTTAGATTTAGGCGCGAGATAGGTAAACACTGGTTTGGAAATAGAGTAGTGGATGAGTGGAACAAGTTACCAAACATTATCATTAACTGGTATACGCTGGATAGCTTCAAACATAGGTTGGATGGATATATGAGCGATAAGGGTTGGGTGTAAACGGGACTGCCCAGTATGGGCCAATTGTCCGGCTGCAGTTTCCTCCATTCTTATGTTTTGTAACACTGAAGGAAACCAAATTGGACGTGAACCTCTTTCCGTTGAGGCAATGATGTCTTTTGTCTGCCATTAAAAAATCTTATCTAACGTGACTGGGACTGAGAGTGAAGGATCTATGGAGGATGATGACACCTGCATAAGAGAGGATAGAATTTTTTGTAGCGGAACAAACATTTACGTGAATTCATAAAAGAGTTCGTGCTAATACGTAACACTGAGGCAATGAGCGTGATGGAGAAATGACCATCAATAACTACAAATATTCCTCGACTAGATATAAAAAAAGATTATTAATGAGGCTAAGGAAGAACGATATTACGTGGGACATTTTGTAAGTATGAATCAATGCCAAAAGGCCTCTTGCTTCGGAAAGTCAAGCGCTGTTGCAATGGTGGATCGTAAGAGTGAAGAATCAAATATCAGTAATAATTCCTTCAGTACATAAGCTATACGGCTGATCATTGACTAGATTGTTGTTTATAAGTTACTGGTTAATATGAATATTGATTATCATTTTAATATATCATGGTTATTGTTGTGGCAAAGGAAATTGGGTGATAATTTGAAGGGTTGGGTTTATAATCTTTCTTTTAGGTTGGATGACTTGCGTTATCTTTCTATGAGGAGGAGAACACTGGATTGTAAAGAGTTTGGGGAGTACAGGAGACGGCCCAATGGAGAACTGTTTTAGAATATGTAGGGAAACCTTTTCTGGGCCTGAAGAACTTATTAATTTTTTTCAAACTTTTTTATTTTTTGTTTTGTTTTACTTTTGACAGACGAATTTACAGCCATATTCTAATCCAGGTGAAGGATCATCCGCTCATCCTCCTGCATATTGGGATCACTGAACCACCAGGTGTGTTGGGAGGAGGAATGGATGAATGGCTTATGAACTCTGAGATTAACGTGGTACAGGTAAACCAGATTAGTTTATTATTAATTTGGGTTCTTCAGCAGTCTCTTTGATTTTTTTAAGCAGACATTTTTTGTTTTGAATAACTTAATAACTACTTAAATGAAATCTCTTGAATGTTGAAAGTGTTTATACAGATGGATTAAATTGGTGTAATCTATAAGGGTGTTTTTTGCTATTTACAATAATGACACGAGAATGACAATAAAATAAGAAAACAAAGTTAATAATATTATGTTCTTGTATACTGGTCAATAACCTCTAGCATTTAAAAGCCCTGGTAAATAAAAACAGGTAGAGGCAGGTTCTTACATCACTGTCCTTGATTCTGTACCTGAAGTGAAAACCTCATGTAGTAAGTAGCCAGCGAGGTGAGTCGTAACGTGTCATAAAAAAGCAAGTCACCAGGAAAACCTGTCCTACAACGTTGTGCACGTCCAGGTATAAATAGAGGCATCAGGGTGGTGGTGGGCATCAGTTGTGATCACTACTGCATCATGAACACTAAGGTAGGCAGCTCCAGCTCTGTCTTGAGATATATGCTCGACTGAAGGATTTACCACTGGCAATACGTTCGCTTGTGCCCTAGCCAAAGTAGCCCGTACATTAATTCAGCAAGTGCTTCAAGTGCTGCCTCTGAGTCCTCCAGTCTTTATACGTGGAGTAGAGCGAATGAGTCACTATGATGTTTGAGGGTCAATGTGTGCTTGGTCTCAAATATTGGCGGGGGCATGGTGTGACAGATACGAGTAAATAGTACAGACTTTGTATTGATTCTCACCTTAGGCGAATACACAGGTGAATGTCGAGAGAAAATACTAAATGGGGAAGTTAAAACGTGAGTTCTCATTATGTTAAGAGACATAATCCTAACATGAATTAAATCTGTCTAGCTGAAGGAAGGTTTGGTATCTCTTTTTCTAATGTTTATGAGTGAGGCGATGTTTGATGAATAAAGTTAATAAATCACTTGTTTTACAGGTACTTCTCCTGCTGGCTCTGGTGGCTGTGGCTGCCGCAGACAAACGCCCCGCGACGGGCTATGGTGCCCCGCCGGTAAGTCGTCAAGATTATATGATCATTTACGTGTTTCTTTGTTACTGAAGCTATACAATACAGGTTTTTATAGGAAAGATAGGATATTTTTCTTAATGTATATCAGTTTTTAATGTCTAGTCTTAAAGGTGAGTTTTGGATAACGAGAACTACGTTGTGTGATGGGATTTTACCTCCATTTACAGGTGTCATCTGAGGAATCCGAGCCCCCCAAATATGGCTTCGACTGGGCAATTCAGGACGGCGAATCTGGCAACGACTTCGGCCAACAGGAGACCCGTGACAACGACCACACCAAGGGGTCGTACACTGTACAGCTTCCCGACGGTCGTCTGCAGACTGTGACTTACTACGTGGACGGTGACTCAGGCTACGTGGTCGATGTCAAGTACGACGGTGAGGCTCAGTACCCCGACTCTGATGAGGTCAGGTCCTACGCCCCACCCAGGCCCACTTATGGCGCCCCCTAAGTTAGTGGAAACTCCCGTGTGGCCACCACCAGGAGGCCACCTCGACCCACCAACAACCACGTACACTCTACCACTGCTACGAGCCTACAGTCATAGGGACTAGAAATACTTTTCGAAATAACATAGACCAGCGATTAGTGAGGGTCTTATTTTTCCAGAACTTTTCTCACATTTCTTCTTAATCAGTGTAAGAGACTGAGGTCTTCCTCGCTCTTAACTCCCGTCTTATATATTTTCCTGTATTATTTTATTGTACATTTGTTAAATTATACATTATTTATTAAACTTTCTGCTGCCTGAAGATATTTTGTTTTCAAACTTCTTCCTCAGACCTTCTTAGTGTGTGAGTCCTTCAGAGTGTGTCAGACCTTCTTAGTGTGTCAGACCTTCAGAGTGTGTCAGACCTTCTTAGTGTGTCAGACCTTCAGTGTGTGTCAGACTGCATGACTTCACTATAATTGGTTTTAATTTTCACCATCTCCACTGATCCCTTCACTCGGGAACGCCAAATTTATTATTTTATTTAGTTAACGCCAGACGGTCTTATTCAACACAGAGGCCCCCTTACACAAATGCTTAAAATCCAATCTGGTTTGGATAATAGATTTACTTCTAAATGCCCCTAAACTTCGCAATAGAAATTATTTTTTATGATTTAACATTAGAGGTATGCGATGAAGTCTGTGTTTGAATTGGCGTGTGTTGAGGCAGAAATTAGAATGCCAAACTTTTTTTTTTTTGGTAACAGAGTTTAATAAACAATTTATCATTAACAAGATATACATTTAACAGGTATCGGTATGTATAACAGAACATAGAAAGAGAGGCGGAAACAAGATGAACATAATAACATCAACTGTTTAACAAAAATGGATCAACAAAGAGAAAGATCACAGGTTTATTGTTTCGAAAGTTATCCCTTAAAAGACAAACATCGAGAGTACCTTTGAGTTCGTAACATCGGTGGACTGCTCATAGGCTGCTGGTGGAAAGTTCTAACCTCCTGGGTGACTGACACACAGTAGCCTATACTATATAGGGTATATCTTACCGACTGAATCGTACCGGCGTTTAGAGCCGTACTCTTTAGACTCATGAGAGTCGGGGGAATGAGCCTCACCCTCGTACTTGACCTCGGCCACGTAGCCTGAGTCACCCTCCACGTAGTAAGTCACAGTCTGGATACGACTGTCAGGAAGCTTCACGTAGTACGACCCCTTTCTTACATCTACCATCACAGTTTATATTACTTCCCAGATACACAAAACTTCCCCCGTTGCTGGTCACCTTCAAGTTGAACATACACCATAAGTCTTTGATAGTTTCGAGCCTCAGTTATCTGTGGTATAATTTTATTTATGCTTGTGAGATCAAATTATTTCATCTACAAAAGGTTTAGCAATATCTGTGAGAGGATAAAGCTGCTACCAAAGCTGCCTAACTTAGTGTTCATGGTGCAGTAGTGTTGACAACTGATACTTATTACCAGGTTGATGACTATTTATACCCAGACGTACACAACAATGCTAGACAAGTTTCTCCAATGACCTTCATTTATGTGACAAAGGTTACGAAGATTCATGTCACCGGCTCATTACTTAATCCCGTTTTCACTTTCAGAACCGAGTGAGGGGGCCAGTGATGTAAGAACCTTGAGTGGCATTCGACAATCACACAAAAACGTTTCGAGTTGTTGTATCAAAACCTTTGTAATGTCAACGTTCATACCTCATTTAACTAGATATACTCGTTGTGAATTTATGGTATTTGTCCAATTGTTTATAAACGATATGGCGAGTTAAACCTCTGTTCACGTGAAAATCATTATATATCACCTAACGATAATAATCCCTTAGATAACAAGTCATATATGAAGCTGAATTTCTCGATATCAATGATTATGGCGAACAGTTCTAAGAAGAAATATGTAAAGTCCTAAATAGTATTTCTCTCAATGCTAAACTGTATTTTTGTTACAACTTTATGGGCATTAGGCCGAGGGGTAGATTCATTATAATGTAGGGTGTCCCAGAAAAATGTCCCTGTCTGCTCTCTGCCTCCTTGCCTGCTCTCTGCCTTCCTTCCTTCCTCCCTCCAACTCACAGTGTCTCAGGAAGCAGGCAAGGCGGGGGGAGAGGGAGGGATGGAGGGATATTTTTATGGAACACCCTGTACCTACATTTGGAAATATATTTACTGCGGTGAACCAATAATTCGCCCTTACTGTGCAACTGATCTCTTAGTGTTTAGCTTAAGTCAGTGTTTTCTGTACTGTCATTGTAACTTGTATTAGAAAATTTTTATATACCTTATCATCTACATTTGATGTTTATTTCCTGCATGAGTCTTAAGTATTACTGTATGATAAACTAAAAATACTGGTAAAAAAATTTCAAACTATTCCCACTTCTTTTTTAATATCTCGCCTTATTTGTTCTATTTCTTATATATTATGTGTACGTACCGCCACGTCTTAAGCTAACTCAGACCACCTGCTTCTTCAGATTTTTATTTTGTCTTGCCAATATTAATCAATGTCTGTACAGTTAATCTAATTGTGTCGATTATAATACATTCATGTTCTAACGTTATAAACAGACACAAGCAACATTATTAAACAAGATGTAGGGATAAAAAAATATTCAGGGAATCTTTATTTTCGATATTGACAGGTACCAATTTCCTCCAGTGTGGGGTGTAAAGGCGTTAGGGCATACCATAGCCAGCTTGTGTGCCTGGTTTCATCCCTCGTGTTGTCTAAATTGAAGTGTTGGTTCCACAAGTGTCAGAAACTTTGAGATATTTAAGGATAAGTGAGGCTGTTGGGAAAGTACAGTATGTTGTATAATTTATGGAGGAATGTAAATTACCGCTTTTATATAGGTAGAGATACAATGGGAGGTCATATTGTACTTTTTTATTTTTTATTTATAACTAAATCTTACTTTTCGCTCTGTTTTTTCATAATCAATATTTAAAACCGGTATAATGATCTCTTTGTTGTTGTATTTTCTCAGACAAAACATATAAAATATTTTGATTACAATATTACCTTAAGTGTTCATGTCTTGGAAGTAATATTATTGCTGGTGGTGACAAGCATTAATGCTGAACTGAATACAAAAGACTTCATTTTTTTCTCATGTGGGCTTCGTCATCAAGAACAAAGAAATATAAACAAGTGTTAAATATTATTAATCATCCGTTTTTTTCCTCGATGTGATAAGAAATATAATGTTTGTTTTGGAATGCTGTGAGTAATATTGGTGCCAAGTTAAAAACCAAACTCATTAATACTATGGTGTATGGGGGATTATATGCAGATTATCAATGCATCTCCAAACACCAGGAAAAAGAAATAGTCAATAAACTGTTTTAAGTAACATTCTTTAATAAACAACTTCACAATATTCACATTCAACAAATAAGAATAACAGGAAAGAAAACAGACGATAGTAACAAGAGGACCTGTAGCTTCAACTGTTTTAAGACGATTAACAAACAGATAGAGAATAACAGGTCAGTTTGGCTTCGTATACAACACTGCTTAATGGATAAGCATAAAGGTCTTTTTTTGTAGCATTGTAACAGTTGTTGACCGTACGTGAGCTAGTGGTTGGACTGAACATACTCTAAGACTCGTGAGAATAGCCCTTGTATTCGTAAGAGTCGGGGTAATGAGCCTCACCCTCATACGTGACCTCGGCCACGTAGCCTGAGTCACCGTCCACGTAGTAAGTCACAGTTTGGTGACGACTGTCGGGAAGCTGCACGTAGTATGACCCCTGGGTGTGGTCACCATCACGGCTCTCCTTGTGACCGAAGTCGTTACCATATTCCTCGTCCTTTACTGACCATTCGAAGTCATACTTGGCGGGTTCATATTCGTCAGAGCCCTGTAAATTAAAGCACAACTCTTATACGTAATGTAGAATTCGTATCCAACAAAACAAAAATCAAAGTAGTCAATTGAGATATAAAAGTCTAAATACAAATTAATAATCACGTACATGATCTTCATGACTGTCATGGGGGGCTTCATAGTATAAAGGCCGTTCATCTGCGGCAGCCACAGCCACCATAGCCAGCAGGAGAAGTACCTGTAAAACAAGTGATTAATTAACTTATCGTTTAACCAGCATCACTTCATTCATCAACAGTTAAAACAAGAGATAATAAATCTTCTCTCAGCTTGGTTGGTTGAGTTCATATTGGGTCTATATCATGTATCATTGGATGAACAGGATAAAGCTGCTACCAGAGCTGCCTACCTTAGTGTTCATGGTGCAGTAGTGTTGACAACTGATGCCCATCACCAGGTTGGTGCCTCTATTTATACCTGGACGTACACAACCGTGCAGGACAGGTTTCTCCAGTGACCTTCACATATGTGACAAAGGTTACAAACAACGTTCTCACTGGCACCTTACTTCATCAAGTTTTTACTCTCACTTCAGATTGGTGGGCAGTGATGTACGAACCTTCGAAGCTGTCTAGTGACCACACAAACGTTATGTTTTTACTCATCGTATTAAAGACTTAATAACATGCTTTATTCTATACAGTGTACTTATTTATCTAACCTGACCTGTTGTGTGTTAAGGACTTTGTAATTTGTGAGTCCGTTCATATGAACGTCAATATCGCTGAACTAAGACTGATGACCACTGAGATATGGAGCAGCATTGGACCTTATCAATGACGCTGAAGGTCTCGACATCTGTGACCGAGAATGAGAGTTGTGAAAAACAAATATGTGAGCCCTGTTATATCCCTTCTCTTAATGATGTAATATTTCTTTTACAGTGCAGTATATGCGTTATAGACAATTAAAGGTCTTATTGCCCTTCAGGAAGCCTTTTCTGTATACGGGTCGGGAGCTGCCGATCCTTGCCAGAGTTTATCTTGTAGTATTGTTCTCTTACATCTTAAAAGAGTAGCAGAGTTTTCGTTCATAAATAATATTGGCTTTATTTCCCTGTGAGGCTGTTGTAAGTCATGAAAGAAACTGTCAGCTGTGAACTCTGTGTATAAACAATCCCTGTGGATACAGTATTTGTATATCTGTTAAAACAATAGGATGCAGTAAAAATTTTATCCTCTTCGCTCCTTGACAACTTACTAGCCAGTGAGACTCGTACAGGTTCCTGGAAGTACCTGAACGTGTGTCAGTATTGGTCTGGCCTGGAATTAAATGGGATCTCACTTGGTGTTGTCACGGACCTCTGTTACAGGCATTTCCAAAGTCTACAATTAATATATTATTCTTGTTGCAGGGACACAGCAGTGAGCTTTTATGGCCCACGACTTTTTTTTAATATCCTGAAATTTGCGCTGGACCATCGCCTTCTCCTGACGGGTAGTAACAGTTTCAGTGAGAAACTGAGTGTTGCTTTTTCCGGTCAACGATGGCATCACGTTTAGTAGAGAGAAGTAACTGGATTTCTCGGTTATTTTCATCAAACAAATACTGATGCTTTCTTTTGGACTGGCCTAGGGTCTCGCTGCAGGTATTCGTGATGGCGGCTTTTAGGGTATCCCATTGGGTGCCTACATTAACAAAAAAAGGAACTGTGATATCATGATAATTTCATGTATTCAGTGAACCTATGGACAGGAATATTTATGTTGAAAAACAAGGACTGAGATTTATGGTGTTCAGGACAGCAATTTCTGTCCTGCCTTGAGGGTGTGAGACATAGAACGACTTCAGAAGACCACCGAATACCTTCAGCATCAAGTGACTACACAAGATAATGAGGACATCACTAACATGACTTTATATCAGATGAAAGACTTCTCGGTGATGTACAGTATAAGTGAAGTTTGCTGATTGAAGATCCAAGAAAGCCAAGAAAAGCGTCTAAAGATAAGTATTTAAAGATTAAAAGTCCACACTTCTTAGAGGGTTAGTTAAGGAAGTTACTGGATACAGAGAGGAGACAGAGTTCTTGTTGCAGCACATTAGCCCAGTTTGCAGTTGGATTTGCTTGAATTAGGCATTTCTATAAAACCAAAATGATCAGGGGAAGAAACCCACCAAGATCCTCCCTGACAACAGAGACACAAGATTACACAACTTAGACGTAACTTGAAGCTCATGGAAACATCGATTATGTTGGTCATAGTAGAATATTTCCTTTTCCTTGTGCTTCGTCATCATGAACAAGTTATGACTCTTGTTAGTCAATATTTATCAGTATTCTGGTTTCTGTATGTGTATGAATACTGGGACTTTTTCAGTACAATAAGTATGTTTATTTATCAAAAGAAATATTGTTAACAAAGACACTCAACAATAGATATAACTTATGAATCTTTGTCGGAGGAGTCAGTTTCTACGACGTTAAGAACTAAGGGAATATTTAGAGTACAAATTATTTCATGTCATGTAATTTAATATATAACTGTATATACAATATTCACATTCAACAAATACGTATGACAGTAAAGAAAATAAGGGATGAACAACAAGGAGGACTTCTAGCCTTAACCATTTAACAAGATGAAGACGGAAATAGAAAAATTATAGTTAACATCACAAATAACAGGTCGATAGGAAGTCGTTCATTATACTCTTTAAGAAGATAAACATCCAGTTGGTTCACTGTATCTTCGCAACAGTAGTGGACCATACATAAGTTGTTGGTGGAGGTGATGTTGTCTCCTGAGTGATTGACGCTCGTGAGCCTCCACTCACTCCATCGACGCTAGGGGCTCCTTACTCAGGTCTGGATGAGATGTGATTCTAAGACTCGTGAGAGTCGGGGGCGCCGTATTGGGATTTGGGTGGTTTGTACTCATCAGACTCGGGGTAATGAGCCTCACCTTCGTATTTGGCATCGGCAATGTAGCCTGAGTCACCCTCCACATAGTAAGTCACAGTCTGCAGACGACCGTCGGGAAGGTGCACGTAGTACGACCCCTGGGTGTGGTCACCATCACGGCTCTCCTGGTGACCGAAGTCGTTGCCGGATTCCTCGTCTTCTACTGACCACTCGAAGTCATACTTGGCGGGCTCATGCTCTTCAGAGGAGTCCTGTAAAGAAAAATAAATCCCATCAATAATCTCTTACTGCTCTTATGCAAAGCGCATGTAGTGCATTCTCAGTAAGTGGTATGAATATTAAATAGATTATCTTCATGACTTACATGCGGGGCACCATAGCTTCCGGGGAGGTCATCTGCGACAGCCACAGCCACCAAAGCCAACAGGAGAAGTACCTGTAAATGTATGCACCCATTAACATTTTATCCAGCCAGCCTAATTCTAAACGGTTAAAAAGTGATACTAAACCTTTCTCCAGCTTGTCTGGTCACTTTCATGTTGGATATATACCATTAGCCTGACCTCTCTCGAGTTAGTGTCCTATTGTCATTTAGATATTCTGAGCTTACATATATACCCCCTGAGATGAGAGCCAAAAGAGACACATTAAGTAATCTGCTTTTAACAAAATGACAGTTCAAATTATTGATAATATGAGCTGTTACAACTGCAGAGTATTTAGCAATATCTGGAAGAGGATAAAGCTGCTGCCAGAGCTGCCTACCTTAGTGTTCATGGTGCAGTAGTGTTAACAACTGATGCCCTTCACCAGGTTGGTGCCTCTATTTATACCTGGACGTACACAACGATGCAGGACAGGTTTCTCCAGTGACCTTCGTATACGTGAGGAAGATTACAAAAAACCTGCTCGCTGGCTCCTTACTTCATCAAGTTTTTACTTTAAGTTGAATAGTGATGTAACAACCTTCGGTTTCGGAGGCGACCACATAAATAACACATTCTTGAATACTGTAATAGAGACTTTATAATGTTAATGTTCGCAGTGGAGTTCATAGCGTATCCCGTACACATTTTCCCAAATTATAAGTCATATCAAGTAAATTATATCATTTCTCAGTAAGTGAAGATATAATCTCGTTTACAAATGAATTTCTCACAAAAAAAATAAAGACAGTATGTGATAGCGTATTTTTATATTGTTACTTCTTGTTACTCTTACTTATTTTTTCCTTATTCTCAGGCACAAATAACGGCATGCTGAAAAGTAGTGCCTCCAATTTTCTCTTGAAGTGCAGTCAACATACAGTAAATATTCTCGCCCATTGCTGTGAAGTTTTATAGTTCTGCTACTAGAGGTCTCGCGGTAGTGACTCAGTAAACATGAGTACTGTTCACCGTTGGGCAAAGCGTGTGGTTGATGCAGACATTTGACAAGCCAAACTGCATCATGAACAACGTAGCGGAAGACAATAAAAGCTACTAGCGAGGATCACCAACAACGCACTGATGAGATCAAACAGAACGGACGAATATCTAACTCAGCACTAACTACCAACCTCGACATTAGCTAGCGTTGGTAATGTCGGGTACCGCAGAGTGTATACGTGGTGGGCTCCCGGAATGCTGACTGATACAACAAAGAAGAGGCAGTTGGACGTTTCCTTAGAGTTGTTGTTGTAACATGAACGCGAAGGTGACGTATTTTTATGCCATATTGTGACTGGAGATAGAAGTTGGATGCACAATTACGACACAGGAGGAAAGAGACAGTCAATGGCATACCGTCACAAAGTTTCACTAGGACAAAAAAAAAGTTAAAACCCCCTAATATCTGTCGGAAAACTCCTGCTTACTGTTTTCTGGGACGGTAATGGTGTCTCCAGCTCAGAATTCATGTCAAGTAGTACCACCATCAACCCTGTGCACTACAAAATTTCAGAGAGACTGAAGACATGATTTTAAGATTTTGTCCTGACATTCAGATGGTTGGTCTCCAGCAAGACAATGCTTGACCTCACATGAGTGCCCTAACATCTGAAGGAATTCATCGCTGTGATTTCGCTGTCTCTGGCCTCCCACCATACCGATCAGATCTGGTTCCGTCAGATTTCCACTAAGTCCCCAAATTTAAGAAACATCTTCGAGGACGACGTTTCTCTTTGGATGATAGAGCACAGACAGCTGTGAGGAATTGGTCTCGTCAACAAGTCACAGTTTTATTGTAATGGGACCAAGAAACTGTTTGAACGTTGACAAAAGTGAGAAGACCAGAGAGAAGTAACCGGGTCAAACTTAAGAATAAACTTTAATGTAGGTGACTGATTTGTTGTAATATCACGTCCCGTTTCAGAGTAACTAATTAGAAGGCATAACTTTTCAACATGCCTACAAATCTTTAATACAAAGATTAATTTTCAAAATTTAGAGTAAACACACACACACACACACACACACACACACACACACACACACACACACCGAAGGGTCAAGACCACCGAAGGGTCAAGACGTAACCTGGCGCTCCTCTCGGAGCAGCCAGGTCAACTGTTATGTTGGCCCATACCAACTCCCTTCCCTGAACCCTCCTCCCCACCGGAATATCAACATGTTCTCGCCAGAAGTTACTATTTCATCTAGGAAAGGAATGGAACCAGTGTTAAACAGAGGTGAACAGTGGTGAACAGTGCTTAAGTCAGTGAGAACAACTCAACAGTAACAGTGGTACCCAAGTTGACCTTCACACAGTGAGGTCCCAGGTACCCAGTGATAACGGCCCGTGAGACCCAACAACCAGCGATGTGTTAATCCGTCTACGATAGGAAGGCCTGGAACCACACCTCACTCATATAACACCATCTGTGAGGGAATTACTACACCACGTGAGGCCCCTCATAACACCATATGTGAAGGAGTTACTACACCATGAGGCCCCTCATACACCATCTGTGAGGGTACTACACCACGTGAGGCCCCTCATAACACCATCTGTGAGGGAATTACTACACCACGTGAGGCCCCTCATAACACCATCTGTGAGGGAATTACTACACCACGTGAGCCCCTCATAACACCATCTGTGAGGGAATACTACACCACGTGAGGCCCCTCATAACACCATCTGTGAGGGAATTACTACACCACGTGAGGCCCCTCATAACACCATCTGTGAGAGAATTACTACACCACGTGAGGCCCCTCATAACACCATCTGTGAGGGAACTACTACACCACGTGAGGTCCCTCCTAACACCATCTGGGAGGGAGTTACTACACTACGTTTTTGCTGTTCAACACCTACAAAAATCTATATGTTCACTGTATGTTCCTTTACCTTTCTCTAATGAAGGCTTTTGTTAAACCACCAATGTATGTAATAAGTCATTTATGCCCAATGTATATTTTCAGCCTTCGGGCTGCAGAACTTTTTCAATAAACCGTCAATTATTATTATTATTATTATTATTACACACACACACACACACACACACACACACATACACACGGTATGTGATGAAAGTTAGCCATTATGCTGCCAAGATTTTAGGGAAAATGTAAAATACAATTCATTTTAAATTACATAGTTTAATAAATAACTCATTATGTACAGCATTCACATCCAACAAATAAGTAACCAATAAGTAACAAATAAGTCAAGAAAATAGGAGCTGATAAAGGAAGACCTCTGTCCTCAAGTAATGAAGCTCAAAAAATAACTTAAAGAAACTTTAACATCACAAATAACAGGTCGATAGTGAGTCATTAATTATACCCTTTAAGAAGACAAACATAAAGCTGTTTCACTGTATCTTCGTAACAGTAGTGGACCATACATAAGTTGTTGGTGGAGGCGATGTTGTCGCCTGAGTGTTGAACGCTCGTGAGCCTCCACTCATTCCATCGACACACGGGGCTCCTTACTTAGGTCTGGATGAGATGTAATTCTAAGACTCGTGAGAGTCGGGGGCGCCGTATTGGGATTTGGGTGGTTTGTACTCATCAGACTCGGGGTAATGAGCCTCACCGTCGTATTTGACATCGGCAATGTAGCCTGAGTCACCCTCCACATAGTAAGTCACAGTCTGCAGACGACCGTCGGGAAGGTGCGCGTAGTACGACCCCTGGGTGTGGTCACCATCACGGCTCTCCTGGTGACCGAAGTCGTTATCAGACTCGTCGTCTTTTACTGACCACTCGAAGTCATATTTGGCGGGCTCATGCTCCTCAGAGGAGTCCTGTAAAGAAAGTACATCAAAACTTTTAAGTAACTTTCCATAACATGTTTACAGGTAAATAATCATGTAGGTAATCCTATTTGAATAATACATCATTCTATCAACTGTTCTTGATTATATCATAAACTCCACGTAGTACATCGCCAGTAGGAGGCCTAAATTCCAATAATCACTCGGGTGTTCTTCATAGTTTACCTCGGGAGCACCATAGCCTATGGGGAGTTTGTCCGCGGCAGCAACAGCCACCACAGCCAGCAGGAGAAGTACCTGTAACGTAAGTAATGAATTAACTTATTATTCGACCACTATCACCTCATTTAGAGAGAGTCGAAACAATAATAAATCGTGTTCAGTTTGGCTGGTCACCTTCAAGGTGGATATCCTGTAGATCACTAAGAGATGGTTCACCCCTCTGTGTCATAGTTTCCTATCCTTGATTCAAGTCTTTTGGATATGAAAGGTGATTGAATATCCTGTTGTTGAGGCAATATGTTCAAGTCAATGATAATTCTAGTGGCTGCGGCTACAGAGGATATGAATATATCTATAAGTAATTGTAGCTGCTGCTAGATGTGCCCACCTTAGTGTTCATGGTGCAGTAGTGTTAACAACTGATGCCCATCACCAGGTTGGTGCCTCTATTTATACCTGGACGTACACAACGATGCAGGGCACGTTTCTCCAGTGACCTTCACATATGTGACAAAGGTTACAAAGAACGTGGTCACTGGCACCTTACTTCATCAAGTTTTTACTCTCACTTCAGATTGGTGGGCAGTGATGTACGAACCTTCGAAGCTGTCTAGTGACCACACAAACGCGAAGCTGTATAGTGACCACACAAACGTTATGTTTTTATCATTGTAAAAAAATATTTAATAATGTCAATGTTCACACCACTTCGTATATAAAGTATTCGGTTATTCAAATTGACCTGTTCTTAGTTAAGGTCTTCATGAATCATAGTTGCCGAAGTGAGAGACAGTATCACTGTATTTTACCAAAGTTAAAATCACGGATATGCTAAGGCACATATTAATAGTTGAATTTCTCGAAATCAGTATTTAAGATTACGATGTGTGAAAAACATTAATTCTGTTACTATATACTAGCTGGGAAACCATACTACAGTATGATCTGCACTACACTACATCAACTAAACTTTCATCTACAGTTCTACACTATCACTTTTGGGTGGGGTCGTCCCCTACCAGGCTCGGTAGGAGGGAATGTTATTGCACTGTATGGGTCCAGGACCTCTACCCTCTACAGTTTCTTCTTTGAGCCAGATCTAAACCATGACACCAAGGAGGACACCCACAGGAGCCCCTTAGTACCTTCAATCCTAATCCCTGCCCTCCCACCCATTAACACAAGTAATGGTCTCCCTACTTTAGCTACAGACTCCAAGTCATGTTTGCCTGACTGATGCACACACACACACACACACACACACACACACACACACACATGCTGAAATACATGATATTGTGTCATTATGATAAGAATCACAACTTCAATAAATCAAACAAAGAAAATAATTAATTTTGGTTCCGTTCTAACATAATAAGTTAGGTTAGGTTAGGTCATGCAGAGGATATTTATTTTAAAGATAATTTGCAGGTTATCAGACACTTGGATCTGGCCTATAGTTTCATGTGTAGTATTCAGTGATCCTGTGGGCAGCAATAAAGGGTGTAAGGTTCATGGTGTTTTGTCATACCTTGTGGGTGTGAGACAGACACTGAATAATAAGACCAACGAACACTTTCAGCACCAAGTAACTACACAAGATCATGAGGACAACGATGAAGTGACTTTATTCAGAAAAAAAAAATTCACTGTGTTTTTGTAAGATGTGATGTTTTCTTGGTCCACTAGTGACAACAGAGGTCTTAATGGAGAGTTATAAGGTCAGTTGAGCTAGACGTTGAGAACTGGTTGGTTACGGCAGGAGGCTTTATGTGCATGAGACTTAACTTGAACTCGGATAAGGTTGGATAAAGGATTTCTACAACAGACTAATGATCGCTTGATACAACTTAGCTAGACAGAATCTGAAAACAGGGGCAGTCGCACTGGAGCAAATGGTAGCTACAAAAGTTAGGCGTGAACTTTGAGTATCTGGTAGTGAGCTGGTTTATTATGCTGTCTCTGAAAAGGGCTGAGGCATTTGTACTCTGTGCTTTAGTGAGAACCTTTCACCAGCCATAAGGTGAGGATATCATTGTTCATATAGCGTCCAGGACTGTCTTGTTTGCGGTGTATTTCCTACGAGTAAAAATATGAAAATTTCGAAAACATCGTCTTTTTAAAGCAGATGTTCTCGATTTTTTTTTTCAGGACAGTGACATTTCCTTTTCCGTTCTTATTTATATCTCGTCATGAGGGACATAAATGCCATAGTAAATTGTGATAACGATTAATCATACGTTGTCAGTAATGTTCTTCTTATATTTGTTATTCATACTTGGGTTTTTAATTCCATCTAGGCGGAACTTCAGGGGGTTGAAGAGGTTCTACCATGGCAACAGCTTCGGAACAAAATTAAATAACCATATTTAAAGCAACGCCATTTAATAAACAACTTATTATATACAATACTCATATTCAACAATTAAGCATGAGAAGAATGAGCTTAACGAAGATGAACAAATACAAAAAAATGTAGACATAACAAATCACAGGCCGATAAGCTTTCGCAAATTATGCTCTTTTAAATAAAAACATAACTTTTATTTCACATTAGCTTCGTAGGAGTGATGGAGCGTACATGAGAACTTCAGGGACTGCATACTGGGACCTGGGTTAGGCGATCATCTAAGACTCGTGAGAGTCGGGGGCGCCGTATTGGGATTTGGGTGGTTTGTACTCATCAGACTCGGGGTAATGAGCCTCACCCTCGTATTTGACATCGGCAATGTAGCCTGAGTCACCCTCCACGTAGTAAGTCACAGTCTGCAGACGACCGTCGGGAAGATGCGCGTAGTACGACCCCTGGGTGTGGTCACCATCACGGCTCTCCTGGTGACCGAAGTCGTTGCCGGATTCCTCGTCTTCTACTGACCACTCGAAGTCATACTTGGCGGGCTCATGCTCCTCAGAGGAGTCCTGTAAAGAAAGTACATCAAAACTTTTAAGTAACATTCCATAACATGTTTACAGGTCAATAATCATGTAGGTAATGCTATTTGAATAATACATCATTCTATCAACTGTTCTTGATTATATCATAAACTCCACGTAGTACATTGCCAGTAGGAGGCCTAAATTCCAATAATCACTCGGGTGTTCTTCATAGTTTACCTCGGGAGCACCATAGCCTACTGGGAGTTTATCCGCGGCAGCAACAGCCACCACAGCCAGCAGGAGAAGTACCTGTAACGTAAGTGATGAATTAACTTATTATTCAACCACTATCACCTCATTTAGAGAGAGTCAAAACAGAGATATTAATCCACCTTTTGATTGGCGTGATAGAGGACGTATTCTCGTGATGTCACAGTAAGTTCAATTCAATGATAACTATATGTTACAGTTACAAAATCCATAACAATATCTGTGAGAGGATAAAGCTGCTACCAGAGCTGCCTACCTTAGTGTTCATGGTGCAGTAGTGTTGACAACTGATGCCCATCACCAGGTTGGTGCCTCTATTTATACCTGGACGTACACTACACAGTTTTGCTGGATAGGTTTCTCCAGTGACCTTCGTATATGTAATAAAGGTTACAATGAACCTGCTCGCTGGCTCGTTACGTCGTCAAGTTTTTACTTTCCGTCAATATTAGTAAACAGTGATGTAAGAGCCGCCAGTCTCGTTCAGCGAACATACAAATATCACGTACTAACTATACCAAAGTTTTTATCACATTAATGTTCGTAGCACATATTACTGTAATTATACATTTATCCATATTGCATATTATTTATTAACGACTTTAAAAATCATACGTTTGCACACAGTGAACAGTAAGACCGTTCAGTTAACTGAGTGACACTTTAGGAGATATCAAGTTATTATCGTGAAAATTGATATATTTTGTTTGTGTCATAAGCCGAAGTATCCTGAGGGACGAGCGCCACGTACACTCGTGTATGGGTCTTCATTACTGTCGTCAAAAGCACCAAACCAGCAAATTGTTACGTGGAAGTAGTCCAGGCAAGTTCTTCCTATTATACAGTTAGATCGGCCGGGAATTTATCCTTCGCAGCAGCCCTATTGGGGCCAATCTTCGGGGGAAAGAGGCCCATCGTCACCTGAAAATTAGCCATCCTCCAGGTAGCACTTTGCAATGGTTAATATTTAGATATTGATATATATAGACAATTGATGGAGGGCCAGTGTTGTCTCATTATTATCCCCCCAAGGCGAGATACACGTTAAACTGGACCACCAGAGCCTGGCACAGTTATAATGGCCAGATGGACCAGTGGTGGACACATAGCCTGTTCTACTACAAGAACTGATTTAGAACCATAGGTTACTTGGGTCACCTTACCTAATCTAACCTAAGAAAATTGACCGCGACCCAGGAAGTCCTAGCTTATGGTGGAGTAGTGGTCTGGGTAGTGACCCGAGGTGAGGTAACTCCCCTTACCTGTACCAGCCGACCACTCCCTCCAACACACCTGGAAATTAATAAGTAGATTCGTGGTCTTGAAAGGTCTCGTTCAAAAATCCGAGAACACAGGTATATATATATATATATATATATATATATATATATATATATATATATATATATATATATATATATATATATATATATATATATATATATATATATATACACAGTATATGTGTGTGTGTGTGTCCAATGAACACTTTCAGTACCATTAACTTCACAAGGTCATGAGGTCAGATCATCATAATGACGCTCTACAAGATCAAACATTTTTCAGTGATACTTTCTAAGAATTTTTGCCTCTGTCTCCCCAGCAGTAATTGGGAACCTGGATGTTAATCGATTTACGGATCGTGTTCCGGGGAAATGGTTAGCCAGTGCAGTTGGCGAGTTAACCAGTCTTCTCGGACTATTCCTTAACACTGTCATGCAGCTCGTTAACTTAGGGTGTGGTTGTTGTGTTGGTGACAGCTTCTACACCTTAAACAAATTCACGCCTAGGTGGCCCTTGGGCCGACCATCCTCGTTACACAAGGGGCAACCATTATAATACATAACAGCTTACGACACAGTTGAGGTCTCATAACACCACAAAAGATCTCGTGTGAAGAGTGAAAGACCGGATCGGGCAACTCAGGTTAGGTTAGAATAGGTTAGGTTAGGTTGCAGTTGGTATTGAAAGTTTGTACAAGGTAGTTGTGACTTCTGAGCCACTGTAGGAGGTTGGGTGTTCGAGCTCCGATACTGAGATATTTCAGCTCCACGTTGCAATATTTAAATCTATGAAGAATTTTATTTATTACTCATCCTTTTATAGAGGACTAGTCAGAGTTAAGATTGATTTGTACATACAGTGAACACGACTGTTTTTTGTAGAGTTCTTGTTTTTAAGTAATTTTCCTAATTGCTTGGACATCGTTAACAGGACCAAAAAAATATGTGAAGACTATGCCTCATAATTAGTTAAAAATATATTTCTGAATTTAACTGTGAAAAACTAATCGAATACTTGGTTTTTCAGTTTAGAAATATTCCTGTCAAACTTAACAAATATTAGATATAACTTGGGCAGGCAGTAAATAACGGGACTGATTGTTTACGTCATCGAAAGATTAGGAGATAGAAAACGAATTATTATTATTTGAACATAATTTAATGAATAACAACATTCACACTCAAAACTAAGCAATACAGAAAAGAAAATCAGCAATGGCAACAGTATGGCGTATAACCTCAACTACGTGAGAGGATATAAACAGAGGTACATAGCAGAGATATTGTAGGAGTCATTGTCGCTTTGTAACGGTGGTGGGGGGTACAGGAGCTGGTGGTGGAAGCTTCACTCACTTAAGGAATTGTGTACAGGGAAATGGGTGCTTGGATCTCCTCAGACTCTTCCTCAGACACAGGAGCGGAGACTGGGGGGCTTGGGTCGGACTCCAGAGACTCCTCTGATGCGTGGTGGCTGGGTGAATCGGACTCCTGAGACTCATGAGATGCCGGGGAGAAGTATCTGGGACTTGGTGGGATATATCCGCTGGACTCATCAGACTCGGGGTATTGAGCCTCACCCTCGTATTTGACATCGGCCACGTAGCCTGAGTCACCCTCCACGTAGTAAGTCACAGTCTGCAGACGACCGTCGGGAAGGTGCGCGTAGTACGACCCCTGGGTGTGGTCACCATCACGGCTCTCCTGGTGACCGAAGTCGTTGCCGGATTCTTCGTCTTCTACTGACCACTCGAACTCATACTTGGCTGGCTCATGCTCCTCAGAGGAGGCCTGTAAATGAAAGTCAAGTCAAAAGCCAATTGTGTAATGTAAGTCACTATCTTATAAAGCAGTGTAAGAAGACTAACCGAGAAAGATTATTTTTAATAAAAATTCTTAAATGTCCAAATATATACTGAGGATAAAGGTTTAGTTTTATCTATATATTATCTCACATAAAATGTTCAAGACTTACCGGTGGTGCACCATATGACGTGGGGAGTTTGTCTGCGGCAGCGACGGCCACCACAGCCAGCAAGAGAAGTACCTGTTACAAATGACAAATTAACGTAATATTCAATCATCATCAGATACTAAATCTTTCTTCTGCTTGGGACTTCACTTTCAGCTTAGACTTAAACTCTCTGGTAATTAATGAGATCCCTGTATGTTTCAACCCTCGCTTTGGTCACCTTACGCGGTTGTGCATTGTAGTAAAGAGGCAAGACATATAAAGTCTTTTTCTCGTAATTAGTTCAAGTTAGTAACAATGTTGAGTGGTTGGGGTTACAGTATAGTTGGGAAAAAGCTGCTTACCTTAGTGTTCATGGTGCAGTAGTGATGGCAACTGATGCTCATCACTTGACTGCTGCCTCTATTTATACCAAGACGTGTACGACTATGTAGGACAAGTTCTTCTACTGACCTTCATATTAGCTGACAAAAGCCACGCAGAACTTAAGCCCTGGGTCAATAATTAATCAAGTTTTCACTTCTAAAAGGAACCGCACACGAGAAAACGGTGCCAGTATTATGGAGAAACTGTAAAACTGAACTTGGAAGGTTACTGGCTTTACTGTAAAGAAGTTTGAACACCAGAGCGAAAAAATTTATTTTCTATGTAATTTTTCTTAAAACATTTCGAGCTGGTCTGTATAAAAGATCGATCTTATAAATAAATTAATACAATATAGACGCCACACGAAGAAGATGAGTAACTTAATCTATTGTGATTTAGAAACATCGTACAGTAGTTTGTTTATGTCATGATAGGGGAAGACGTCTTAAATGAAACAGATGAATATCACCAAAAATGAATTGCATTGAAAACAAAGAGTTTCCAATTTGGTAAAAAAATTCAGTAGTGTATTAATGATTAACCGGACGATTATTTCTATATTCTTCATAAATTCCTTACCAAAGAAGTTCTCTTAAGTTTGTTTTTGTCTGACACCTAACGAACTGTAAACAAACCAACCAAGACCGTGTGGCAGCTCTGTATAATATCTGGTGTTCGTTCACATCCTTCGAGATACGTCATGAAGAGCACTACTGAAGGTTTCCGTGCAAGTTTCGCGGATTAGTCACGTATAGGTGGTCCATGTTGTGATCGGACATGAGAGAACACAGAGGCTACCTAACTGACCATTGCATAAAGTCCTCAAAAGTCTGTGCATCAGTACCAGTAGCTTTATTATAACGTATTTTGACGCCAAAGCACTTGCATCATTATCCCAACAAGAATTAAAGCCAGATGACCATGACACCTGATAAGAGCTTGCCTACCAGCTTCTCGTCATGGTAAAAGATGACTGTCAGTTTCATACACACACAAACACACATAAATGTTGATGACAAACTAAGTTCACTTCCATTAGAGTGGCTTTGTAAGCAAGTAAACCTATCGAGAATGGGCTTCTATACAAACATTTGACATACAACAACGGCCATTGCGAGGATCGAGAGTTACTGTGTGGTGTGAGGTAATGCCAGGCTGCAATTTCGGTTCGTGATTCTTTGAAGATGATGAAGGTCAAGCGATCATTGTGAACTGTCCACGCTGTCGTCATCTGATCTAGACATTCCTGAAGCCTCTCCTGGAACATCATCACGTAATACAAAGGAAACAGTGGCCATTCTTTGTGAAATATGTCCAGCCAGACCAGAGAGGTGAGGTTCCCTGACCACTAATATTAACAGCCACCACAGTCTCCCGACAAGTTAGCACCAATTCACCAGATTGCTTTCTTTTGGGGTACCTTAAGGAGATAATTTTCCATTAATAAATCAAGTACAACAGAGGCTCATAAAGGAACATTTTGGAGGGACGTAGCCGACATAATCCCTGATGTGCTCGAGGTAGTGATGCCAAGTGTTGTGCTCTGGGTGAGTCAATATAGAGATATCCGTAACAGACTCAAAGATCACAACAAAATCCTCAGCCACATACTCAGAGGCTATAGATATTGAAACAAAGTACATCACATCAGCAACAAGGTGAAGAAGTCAGATGTAGTTAGTGTAAACATTGTACCTCGTGACAATATTAAGTAAACCAACAGATTACAGGGAGTAACACTCATACGAACACAATACATCTTCCTGTATGTTCTAGCTAGTGATTATGGAAGTGTAAGTAAAAATGGGTCATATAGGAATGTACAGCTGGGTGGCCTGTGAGAGAGCCAGGATAGAACCAGCGACCCTAAGGAAAAGAGACAAACGTTATATCTACTCAGTCACCGCATCCCTTTAATGTCAAAGATTAATCGAAATTCAAGTCTGTCTCTGTGTTCCCCTTGCGTGTGTATCGCTGTTGCTCATAATACGACTGAGGCGAGATTTCGATAACAATAACACTGACTGAATAATGACAAGCAAGATGGAGGCAAGACTGTGATAACAATAACACTAAACTGAATGACAAGCAAGAAGTTCCTCTCTTTTTCCCGTCCTTCGTGAGACCGCGTATGACAAGCCTGCTTCACCTAACAAATACACGTCTCCACTGAACTTGAACTCGGATAAAACAAAGACTATCTCCCCCAGAGCTCCGAACACATCAAAGCCAAAATGTTTCTTGTCATTGCCATCGTATCCAGTTTGCTAGCTACCATTTATTCTGGGGAGGATGAGACGTTTGGATCGGCACTTGGCCTTATTAATATAACCTGTCAGTGTTTTTTTGGGACTTTATTGTTCATTTAAAAGTCCAAATAAAGTGTACAGATTTAAAGATGATGTTGCTTCCCTAATACCCGACTTTCCCTGATATCTGTCCTAACCTTATACCTGACTTTCCATGATATCTGTCCTAACCATATTCGTGGCCTTCCCTATTATGTGACCTTTCCTTATACCTGACCTTACCTTATACCTAACCTACCCTTATATCTGACCTTCCCTGATGCCTGACCTTTCCTGATACCTGACCTGTCCTTACATCTAACCTTACCTTATAACTGACCTTTGCTGATATCTAACCTTGATATCTGGCCTTTCCTGATACATGTCCTGCCCTTACATCTGACCCTACCTTATAACTGACCTTACCTTTACCTAACCTTCTCTGATACCTTCCCTCCTCTTATACCTGACCTTCCACCATATACACGGGAATAGGACTCAAAAAAACTTTACTAAGCATTATTGACGCTAATTTGACCCCTCATTATGTTATATCTTACGTTATCCATTTAATATCGTTCGATTCATATTAACTATCATACGAATCTTTGAGAACCCAATTTATGATGAACATGCTATAAAGTTGTTTACGCTTTTCAGGATCTTTTGCCGTTTTTTTTTTCGAGGGGTCATTCGTGCTTGTAATACTTCTCCCTGTCTCGTTTCCCTCGAGCAGTATCGGCCTACTTGATTAAATTAGAGAAGCAGAGGGAAATAACCCAAGGGAAACTAGCATGCTGGCGATATAACTCAAAGGCCAACTGGTTTTAGTGAGATACGACCCGAATTCAACCTTGTCTGACCGTCACTTATTTGTGGTCACCGAGAACGGCCAACCGTCTCTAGTTTGTGGTCACCGAGAACGGTCTACCGTCAATTGTTTGCGGTCATTGAGAACGGAGCGATTTACTCCACGTTACACCACATACTTATCAATACACACTAGATTATTGTGAGTGATTTACCTCATAGCACCACATACTTGCCACATAGTATCCAGAATTACCACACTCCTGCTAAATACCATCCCATACAGAAACCTAACCTAACCTAACCTAACCCTGGCGTTCCTATAGGAGGATATCTATGTCCTTTGTGAATTCCTCATCCTTCATGGTCCACCCTGTAGAAAGCGGAATGACAAAGACACAAACAAGCAATGGTGGCTGTTTATCTTACCATCTGATGATAAAAAAGATAAAATAAAAACAAGTTATACAGCTTCTTCAGGTGATCATTAGTGGCGAGGTGACTTATTACGCTCAGACCTTCCTACTAGTGCCGTCCAACTTGTTCACCAATCACATGGGGAAGATCCACTCGTGTTTAGGAAAGAGTTGACTCACTTTGATTACGCAGTTCAGTTCTGGTCACCGTACTACAGAATGGATTAAAAGCAGAATGACAAGACTAATCCCGGGCATTAGGAACCTTGAGTACAGATACAGGTTAAAGCATCTTAATTTGTACTCCCTTGAGAGACGTAGAGTGAGGGGCGATATGATAGAGGTGTATAAATGGAAGTCAGGGCTAAACAAAGGTGATATAACAAATGTACTCAAACTATGCAATCAGGAGCGAATTAGTATACATATGAACTCGAATACACTGGATAGCTTCAAACTTAAGTTGGATGGATATATGAGCGATAGGGGTTGGGTGTAAACAGGATAGGATGAGGTTAGATTAGGTTAGTTTAGATCAGGTTAGGTTAGATTAAGTTAGGTTAGCGTTCGGGTTTTTAAATCTTAACGTGAAATAAACTGGGGGCCTAATCTTCTTGTGATCTCCTAAATTATACTCACTACCTGGAAATTACTGTATCATTAAGTTATACCTATAGCTATACTTGTCCTTATCTTTCAGAACATAAAAACCCAAATCAAACCAATTGTTCCTTAAAACCAGATTTATTAAATAGAATAATAAAAAAAAAAAACTTAAAATACCTGTTACTTTTTCTCTGAATATCTTAAACATTTATTATTATACAGGAATAATTCTACTTTAGTAAATTAAGTATGTAATATAGTTAATAATGTTTAAAGTTGTTGTCTATTGTTGAAACTAAGTTGATGCGTCAAAATTACATTAAAATAAAAATAAATTGCATAAGGAAAAAAAGAAGAGGAAATTCGCCTTTTATTTTTTATATTTTTTCATTCTGGTAAGTGTGAGCTGCGTTGCGTTGCGTTAGGGTAGGTTAAGGTTAGTTTGTTTAATTACTAGGTAAAATAAAGCTTGGGTGCTTAATCATCACGTGAAGCAGAGGGTCAACTAAGTAATTACCTTTATGAACATACAGGTAAATAACTAAGACGTTTAATCCATATAACTAAGCCTTAAAAGAGAGAATATTCAACTTACGTATCCTATAACCTAACCTAACCTAATCTAATCTAACCTATAAATCTTACGTAACCTGCACAACTGAACAGCTTCAAATTTAACATCAAATCCTCGGACCACGACAGGTAACAGCCTGACCTGATCTAGTTAAACTGGTAAATATTTAATTAACAGGTTCACCAAGCCGAGGGATGCAGATACACCTGTTTTGTGAAGTTCACCAGTCGTATAAGTGGTCAGGGTAAAACGTACATGAAGACCTCGAGATAAGAAGCTGGTGCCACTTTCATAATATGTTGCAAGCTGGAGACACGGAGAGAGAGAGAGAGAGAGAGAGAGAGAGAGAGAGAGAGAGAGAGAGAG